ATCATAGGTTCTGCACTGGACAAAATAACTGCCAGCCTTTCTGATCTCAAAACAAGACTTGACTCAAGAAAATGTATTTCACCTGATGTCTTTGCTGAGAACATGAAGATTAGGCAGGAAACACATCACTTGGGTAAGAACTTCATAAATGTAAATCATGCCTAGCCTTAGAGCAAAATGCTCATCGCTCAATTCGCATGACTGTAAACGATTAGGGTGTAGAACGAAGGACGTGTCCCACCCTTCCTACTTCTGAAGAGCTTGTGGTCATTGGCCCAATGTGGCTGAAATGAAAATGCAAACCTGTATTTTCTGTCTTAGTGCGTCCAAACTGCAAAGGCCTGTCTTGTGTAACACTCTCACCAGGATCCAGCTAACAGTGTGTTTACTGTCTTTTTTACAGCCAACTATATTCCACAGTGTTCGGTAGACGATCTCTTTGAGGGAACGTGGTACCTTGTGCGTGTGGATGAAAAACACAGGAGAACTTACGCGCGGCGCCCGCTGATGGGGGATGGACCTCTGGAGGCAGGAGTTGAAGTTGTCCACCCAGGCGTTGTTCATGAGGTGAACACTCAGCACTCTTTTAAAGTTTGATATAAGTGGTAGAACGGTTTATGTGTTTGTCTTAGCATGTGCATGTATGTTAAAAGAGGAAGTGCTTTAAAAAGTTCTGTTAAATACTTTGTTAACATATGTAACATACAAGCCAGAACTGAAAAATTGAACATGGGATTTTAAAAAGTACATGTCGTCATAACATGAATGAAACTGCACAAGAATGGAACGGGAACAAACTGGCTCTTTTCACACGATCAGTTTGCATGAAACATGACCGATTTGATTGACATAAGAGCAAGCCGTCCAGTGTAGCATGAATGTTGTCTGAGAGTTGGACTAGCCATGAAGTATGAATGTCTGAACTAGAAAACTGTATTTAATGTTTTTTTTCCCTTCTTCTTAGCACATCCCAAGCCCTGCTAAGAAAGTGCCAAGAATCCCTGCAACAACAGAATCTGAAGGCGTTACTGTTGCCATTTCCAATGGGGAGCATTAAGATACCTCTGTGAGGTGGGGAATGAAACAAGGTGTGAGGGTAGGGTGAGAGAGAGAGAAGGATTGCAGTAGCGCTGAAGTTTCAGTGTACAGTAGTACTTCACTGGAGCATGGAAAAACTGTTTTAAGCTCCTTGAAAAGATTTGTCATAATATGGCGTGCTGATATTTATACTATTTCCAGAACACTAAAATCATGAATATACTGGAGATGGAGGGACTTGCCAGGGGCTGTGTGAATTCCTAAACGTGTCTGAATTTTTTTAATTGCTGAGTAGTAGCTGTAGTCTATTACAAGGTCTTTGTACATAGAAAAAAAAAAAGAATCTTCTGCTTGCTCTTTCCATGCAAAATGACTTGAAACCTACACTGTTAACTTCTACTTGTACTCACGTGTGTGGCAAAATAGTCCAAGCTTTTAATGTTAGGGTTCTCAGTGCCTTGACAGTAAGCAGTCAGTCGTCTGAATACTGCACTTCTCCTTCCCTTTCTTCTCCCAGTCTACCTCCCATCGTCCCACTGCTTTGGGAGAGGTGTAGAACCAAGTAACACTCATTGCTGGAAGAGAATCTCTCTCCCCTGTCAAAATGACTGGGTCAAGAAGGGCTAAACTGACAGCTGGTTTTCTTTTAAGAAACTCTGTGACCCACGGTGTTACTTACTACGTAATTCCTCCTAGCATCCATATTAGGTGTTTTATACCTGCATTATAAATCACAGCAGCCTGGGAAGAAAGAGGAAAAAGAAGGGAGGTAGTAGTTTTTTTCTTCTAAAGAACAAAAAGGGTGTAATTCTTGGGTTCATTGATTTGGCACCTGTCAGGATTGTTTAGTAGAAGTATTTAAGGCAGCAGAATTTTCAAATAAAACTTCTAGATATTATGGAGCTGTTTTAATTGGCAAACAAAGGTAGGGAGGAAGATCACTTTGTCTGGAGCTCTGGCCTCTCACTATTCTTTATATAATACATTTCTAAAAGACTATTTCTAACTTTGAATTTGGCTTTGTACTTTGAAGTCCTTTTCACTGTTGGTAATATTGTAGGAGTGGGGTCTCTTACTTTTTTTTTTTTTATTTTTTTCCCCCCTCCCAACATGCAAGCTAAAAGCTATCCATTTTGCAAGTGGTAGATATACAATGCTAATGGGGAGTCCAGTCGGGTAGATTTTTAAAGCCCAGACTGGAAATGAACTATGACATGAGCCTTGTAAGCTTGTAATATATATTTAAATTGAGCTAATGTACAGAATGAAGTTTTGTTGAATTTATTTCTTTGCTAATTCTACAAAGCTACATTATCTAATATAAAGTAGGAGAAACTGATTTGTCTGTTAAATTACAAGGGGATTTTTGTGTGTAATGAAGTGTTTGTATTATCTGTCACTCACTAGGATTTGATAACTTGCTGTATTTGTACAGTCAAGCCTTGGTAAAATAGTTGTTTATTATAAATTGATGAATACTAATCTGTTTGTTCTGCTGAAAATGATGGAGCAATGATGCATGACGATAGTGTTTGCAAGTATTTTGGTTTAGGTTGCCCTCGTGTGAAACTTATCTTGGCACCAGAAAAACAAATTGCCATGGAACAAAGTCCATTGCTGGCAGTGGACAAGCCAAGAAGTGAGCTACTGGCAGAAGGTTAACCAGAGGGACCTCACGGTCTGTGAGGCTGATCCTTTATTAAAATAAAGTTTGAGATCTTTGAAACCTGCTGGCGTAGTGCTGACTTGTTGGGTTTTAAGGATGCATTTGTTTTTCTTTAACAGGAAAGAAAGAGGAAACTGGCCCTGTGAAAACCTGAAGTTGAGAGGTTAGTCCTGTGAGAAAATGAAATACTGTTCAGCCAGATAACTGGATCTGTTGTGAAGCCTGTCCCCTGTTTTTTGTGGGTTGCTGGAGGGCTGGATTAACTCCCACTAATGTCAGAAATTGTACTTTTTCTCCTCTTGCTCTGGGCTATCTTAGCCAAGTCCCGTTATGGGAGGCAGCAAGGAACAGCTGGAGATGCTCCTATCTGTTTATTTGCTTGGGGATTCTCCAATAAAATTGACAAAGAGTGGACTAGAGCTGAATAACACAGTGCTCTACTTCCAAGGCGAAATGATGAAAATAATTTAATTGTGTTTGTCACTCTCAGTCCTACCTTACTTAACAGGCCATTGAGAACTGTGTGAAACGTTACCTTAAAGGGTCTGAAGTGCTATGAAAACCTGCTTGACTGGGGCCAAATATTGCTTGTTTCCCCACACGTGTTAAGTGATGTATTCAAATTGACTCAAAGCAGCTGAATAAAGTAATTTTCAACTTCTGTCAATTTCTGTCCATCAGGGTTGCGCGGAACCCACATGCAACACGCGTACGACTTCTATAAACCAGATATGGTCTCTGAATATCCAGTAGTTGATGGCAAACTATCTATACAGTGCTACCTCAGTGCATTAGATCGCTGCTATACTGTCTATCGCAACAAAATCCACGCCCAGTGGCAAAAGGGTATGTACTGGAACATGTAGCTACACAGACAATGTATTTTCATGTTATCGCATCCAATCAGAAGAATAGTATATTGTCCCTT